CTCCAGATGATCGGGTCACAAAAGCAAGGGGGAAATTAAAAGTTTAGATTCTGTCCCTAACGATGCACGTCAACCTCGGGTCACAAAAGCAAGGGGGAAATTAAAAGGTTAGATGCACATCAACCTGTTCTATTTACTGTACTTCAATGCTGTGTGTGGTAGGGGACAGCAAACGGACTGTCCAGACAATGTATATGGTCATCTTGACGATAAAAGTGGCAAAACCGTCCCTCCCCAAGATTTTTTTGTCTCTCCTGAAAACTGGGGTTGAGGTGAGGTTGTTATTCCACGGTTTGTTCCGGGAGCAGAGTTTATCACTATGACCCTTTCTATGCTTCTTGTGCGGTTCATTCTCATGTCAAAAAAACCTGCCAAGAAACTTTTAAGTAGAATCATAGAATTCATAGAAAAGTGAAGTTGGAAAGGGCTTACAAGGCTATGAAGTCCAACCCCCTGCTCAGTGCAGGAATACAATCAAAGCATACCTGCCAAGTGATTAGCTAAGTTTTTCTTGAATGCCTCCAGTGTTGGAGCACTCACCAAGTAGCATACCATTATATATATTTTTTAAAGATCCAGAAAATCAGTTATTGCAGGAAATGGATGTCAAAAATGGATTTTAAAGCTCTTCCAAAGAGACATTTCTTAACCCAATACTGTGTCAGATGAGATAGTTGCTCCTTCCCCAGGTCATATACAGTGGAGGAGAAGGAATTGTGTTTCCTCTCTGATCATTTTCCAAGCCATACACCCTAATCTGTAAATGAGGTACAACTGGAGCTATTGGCCAGCATGCAGTCATATGCTTCACCCACTTCCAGATCTTGGGTTTGCTAAAGAAATCCTATTCATGCTTATGGAACACGTCTTGGTTGACATTTTGACTTGCAGTCTCTTGAGTAGATGCCTACAATGGAGACAAGCTCAGTAACGCGATACCTTGCTTGGATAAGATCTTAGAAGCTCCACAGCGGGGAACTAGAGATGTTCCTAGGAGCCCATCTTAGATGCTAGACACATAGCAAGCTTAACATGTAGATCAGTTCTGAGATACCTTTTGAATTCCTTGCTTTTTGTAAGTTGTCAGAATATAATATTTCTAGAATACGAGATAATTCCTGTCTCCAGTATCCCACTACACAAACATATCACTGCCCAAAATCCTATTGGTTAACATAATAAGTCACAGCTACAACAGGCTCATTGAATCCATGGGGGGTTGGCAAGCTAACTCCTCTCCAAAATCCGGGAATTCAATGGGCCTGCTTTAGTTGCACTTTACTATGCTATGCAAAAACTTTTCAGCCATTTACTACATAGAGGGCAAGCTCTTTTGCATCTGTGTAATGCTGGAAGTCAGCTTGCCCACTGAAAATTAAAAAGCAACCCTTTAACTGTACTCTCGAAGGCTTACACAGCCGGGATCCAAAGGTTGTTGTAGGTTTTTCGGGCTGCCTGGCCATGTTCTTGAATTTTTCTTCCTAACGTTTTCCCAGTCTCTGTGGCCGGCATCTTCAGAGGACAGGAGTCAGAACTCTGTCTGTGCTTTGGTGCAGTTTGTGGGATACTCAACTATCTCACAAAATACTCAACCATCCCATTTACCATTCACTTCTGGTGGGGTTCTGGGGATCCCTGTCATGGGAAGGCATCAAAAAAATCCCCCACCGGAACTGAAAATGTTACTTTTTAGAAGGACCTGTTGTGGTTTTCAATTGCTGTTCTACAGCCAAGTTGTCATCATTAGAATGGTTGCTCCCATTCGCAACTCACAACTTGTCCTGCAGATTATAACTTGCCTCAACCTAACAAACAGGCCAGGCCAATGCAAATACTCTCAGCTTCCCTCTAGTGGCCAATTCGGGTAACTGCTTACTAGAAGCCCCTTGAAAAAGAAAAAAACAATCCCTTGCCACTTATGACTGATAAAAAGAAGTCATAAAGCTGAAAAATCCTGACAAAATGCCCCTTAACGCCTTAAAAGAGTTCTTAAAGCTACTTCTCAAAGTAACTCAGCATTGCTCATGGCACGTTGGTAATTTAACTACTGCCGATAACATATACAGGCAATCGCATAACTATTAATGATATTACTTGTTACAAATAAGGAATAAGTTACAGGCAACTACAGTGGTGCCTTGCTAGATGATGATAATCCATTCCACTGAAATCGCTGTTTAGCGAAATCATTGTCTAGTGAAAAGCATTTCCCCATTGGAATGCATTGAAACCTCTTTAATGCGGTCCAATGGGGAAGAATCATCGTTGTCTAGTGAAGATCGGCCATACAAAAGCCGCTTTGTGAACTCCCGATCAGCTGTTTAAATAGCTGTCTTGTGAAGCTAAGGTCCCGAAAACACCCGCTTTGCGAGCACGGAGGGAGCTGCCAAAATCGTTGTCTAGCGAAAATTGGTTTGTGAAGCAGGGGCCAAACACTGCCCAGTGAAATTCCCCCATAGGAATCACTGTTTTGCGAATCGCTATAGCGATCACAAAAAGTCAATGTTTAGCAAAAAAACTGACATGCGAGGTAACTGTCTAGCGAGGCATGGCTGTACATTGCTTTCGGCTAGTTCCTTTCAATCTCCGCTCCTCACACACAGAGAAGCGAAATTTTAAGGTAAACAAATAAATAAAAAGAAACATTCCCCTTAATGTTTGCCAGAAAAGGGGACCTGGAGCAGGGTGGGGATGATTTAGACACAGAACACCCCAAATCTCATAATATGAATCACACTGAGCCTGAATATGGGGCTTCCCGTAAACACACTGCCACCTGCTGGCCGTTCGTGGAAGGCACATCTTTGCATAGAGCCTGTCAACAGATTGAGTTAACCCAAGCAGTTTGCTCTTGAGGTTTGCTCTCATCCAGCCTGGAATGATAATTGGGGGAGTGGGCGGAGAGCGAAAACAAGACCAAGAAGAAGAAAAAGAAGAAGAAGAAAAGCTTACGAAAGGTGAAAGAAGCCCAACAACCCCCACCCAACCCCCAACACCGTCCTATTGCTCTTCTCAGGACCAACAATAAGGATGTGACCCAAATGTTGGCAGCCACAGCTGCAGCAAAAGGAAGAAGGAAATGCAAAAAGGAAAAAAATGCAAAAGAAGAGAAGAAAAGAGAAGTTTATGCAAAGCAACTGCAACTTCTGTTTTTCGCAGTTCGTTCAGGGCAACGGTAGTGGGGGGGTTGTGTCATGTGCGTTTTGGAAGGAGGAAGACTTAATTTCTCCCACAAACATACCTGGGCTGCTATCCAACAGGAAAGTTCCCCTGTGCCAGCCCCACTGAAATGAATGGGGACAATGGAAGCTTGGCTGGATACTCTTTGTTAGCCCTTGCTGGGACTTTGGGGATTTTAGCAGGCATTTTTCCCCCTTCTTTTGCAACTGGGCTATTCAAAGGGGCAGCACAGCTCCCAACTTGCGCCAGAGTTGTCAGGACACCAGAGAGCTGAGCTATCAAACTGCGTGTATAGGAAGACGGGACATTGCGAAAAGAACCAAGTCTTTGGGGGCATCAGGCATAGGGAGAGTCGGACCCCACCAGCTGATCCTTTCACAAAGAAACACGTGTCCATGCTTCAGCTACCCAACAAACAGCCGTTGTCCCCAAACAATCAGAACGCAAACTAAGCTGGCGTTTCACTCCAGACGACCAATCACGAAATGGAGCGAGCGAGGGGAGATCAGGAAAGCTTGCAGAATTACAATCGAGCAGCCTTTAACCCTTACGGGACTGCCATGTCCAACCACAAGCCCTCTAAAGCATCTAATCCTGCATTTGTACATGTATTATGGGGGCTAAGCTTTCATGGGCCAGTGCCCGTTAGACACAGCTGGTGAAGTACAGACCACAAAAACTCAGACCATAATACAAGTGGTGCCCCGCATAGCGACAATAATCCATTCCGGAAAAATCGTTGCTATATGGATTTGTCACTATGCGGAACAAAAAAGCCCATAGGAATGCATTAAAACACATTTAATGTGTTCCTATGGGCAAAAAACTCACAGTTATGCGAAAATCCTCCATACGGCCGCCATTTTCACTGCCCGGTAAGCGAGGAATGGGCGTGAAAACACAGCGGGCGGCCATTTTTTTTACCCGGCGGCCATTTTGGAACCCCCGATCAGCTGTTCTTAAAACATCGCTATGTGAAAATCGGTAAGCGAAACAGCTTACCGATCATCGTAAAGCGATGTTTTACCATTTAAAACATTGCAATGCGATCGCAAAAACAATCGCAAACAAACTTCGCTATGCGGATTCATCGTTAAATGATGTGCTCGTTAAGTGAGGCACCACTTTAAATGACTTAGTCCTTAATAGAAGGACTACATTTTTTTGCAGGGACTCACAGTCAAGTTGGACTTAAGTCTCACCACTTAAGTTGGACTTAAGTCAACTCAGACTCGACTTTTTTTTCCAATGACTCAGCTCAACTCGCGACTCAGAACCCACCCACCTCTCTCTTCTTTTTCTGGGGAAAAGAGCTTGCTTTGAAGAGGAACTCAGATTTGGGAGCTTGAGACTCGAGACTCGGTACCAAAGACTTGGGAGCTTGGGACTGAAGACTCAAATTTGGGACTGAAGGCTCAGATGCAAAGACTTGCCAACGTCACTGCATTTTTGTCTGCTACAAACTAACATAGCTTCTCTTCTCCAGAGTGTAGTAGGAAAGTTCTCCTGGACTACCTCTCCACAAATCTCCCAGGAAACATGAACACTAGGAAAAAAAGAGAAACTCTTCCAGCCCGTGTCTATGGAATCCATTTAGCCCGTATTATCGACTCCAACTGGTGCTGGCTTTCCATGGTTCTAGTCAGGGGTCTCTCCAAAACTACTTCTGGACATCCTAGAGAACAAAACAAGCAAAGTACACCACCATGGACATGATGGGCTCTCTTCTTATACACATACAGTATCAGGAACCCAGTAATTGTGAAACCCATCCATTATCAGAGATGCTTCATGTAACTTCAAAGAAATGAAAACGTGAGTTCAGAAGGTGGGATTTTTAATGAAACAAAAGGCAGATCAACCATAGAGAGACAGCATTTGGATAAGCTCCATTGAGATTGTGAGGGTTCCTAGAAAAACATTGAATACGTAATCTGCATTTTGCTATTTCCAGACAGACTCCAACCTCACTGGCCGCCGTAATTTTTCTAGCGCAGGCAGATCAGTCCGGTACACAATATGCATGCGGGGTTTCATCCAAAAACCACAGTGGGTGGTGAAACCAGTGCCTGAAGGGAAGCACTAAAATAAGCATCTGTTTGTTGGATGCCTAATGAGGAAGCAATCAAACAAGCAGTGACGATTTTACACTTGCTTAAACACTGTAAAGCGACACACACACAAGCGAGGACTGCAGAGTGCAGCAGGAGACAACGCCAGCTCAGCAGTTCGGCCCGGGTCTGTTCCCCTGCATCAGTCATCACCGCCACAAATCCTGAGCAATGTGGTCCTGTAATCCCCAGAAGTGTCAGACTGCAAGGAAAAGCAAAGGAAGGGACAAATAACATGAAAGAGCCCGCTTAGTGCTTTGCTCGCTGAACATGCCAAACTGTTTATCTCCAAAAATAAACACAAGATAAAACTCTGCAGTGCAGCAATGTTTTAAATCATGAGCTACAGTACATCCGCCAGGCTGGATTAACCTTTAAATTAAAGATACTACAGGGCATGGCTCTCTGGGTACATATGGACCTCTTATATTGGACAAGGGTTTTCTTTCTTGGCAACGAAAGACTATTAAGAATGCAGAGGGAGAGGATATTTGGGTCCCCCAGGAATGCCCAGTCACCACTGATCTTGTTTTGCAGTGCAGCCTGAGGAGGGCCTAATTAGCAGCAAACATCTGGGCACCAAGCCCTTCTCTTAAGTCGACACATCTGCAGATTCTCAAGGAAACCCCACCTCCTCCATGCAGAGCCAAGGTACGTCCATCTATACGTGGTGAGTCTGAACAGCTTCCAGAGTCCCACGCCTTGGAGGGTCGCCCCATCTCCGGATGTTTTTAAATTGGTCATTTTTATTGAACTGGAGGACTGAACTGCAGAGCCAGAAGTTAGGAGTTTGATTCCCCACTGTGGCTCCTTGATAGGGGGCAGGATCCGATGATCCGCAGGGGACCTTCCAACTCTGCAATTCTAAGACTACAGATTCAAGTCTGCAGTGCCATGTGTCAGAATCAAAATGGACCATGTTGTGGGGGGGATTCCAACTCTGCAGTTCTAAGATTACAGATCCAAGTCTGCAGTGCCATGTCTCAGAATCAAAATGGACCATGTGGGGGGGGGGATGGGACAATCAAGGGGCCTTGGTGAGCCACGTGCCATGATCTATGCAAACATTAACATATTTGCACACAATATCCTTTGTCTGCAACCTTCACTTTTCCCTCATTTTATCAGATTTTAATAGCTTTTAATTTTGGGTTGTTTTTTTTAAAAAAATAATTGCATTAACTTCAAATATTGATCTCTTGAGGTAAGTGAACAGAAAGTCACCTGGAAAACAGGAAACATTTCTAGATGGTCCCTGTATAATTTCCCTGTATCCATGAGGACCAGAAACCAGCATTTAAAAGCTGGAATGAAAATGAAGGCCAGGGTTCTCAGGGATTCTGTGCTGACTGCTGCTCACTGCCCAGTCCAAGAGATTATCTAAGGAAGCAACTGTGTATTTAGTTGAGCTCTCGTCACCGTTCCAGTGCTTAAGAAAATCACTTTTATCGGATCACAACTCCCAGAATCCCCAGCCAGCCTGCCCCAGCATCCTGTTCAAACATGCAGTTAAGGGCAGAGAAAAGATAGGTCTCCTTCCTGCTCATGTCACACTGAGCAGATTCTTCGCTTTGCTCTTGTCCCCAGCCAAGAAGAACCACCAAAGTCATCCAAATGGATCGTCATGACTCGTTGCTTTCAAATAAGCCAGGTTTTGCCAGCCAAGGAACAGACCCAGTTTCTCTGTCTTGCAACAGAAGAACAAGCCAGCATTCCAAGCTTGAATGCTACACAAAACAAGCCCCTCCAGTTTTGTTCCACAGGCCCCATTTAACAATGCACAAGTAACCCTCAAACATTGTTCCAGAGACCTACACACATACTTACCTGAATGGCAGAATGCAAAGAGCAACCATAAAGCTTCTTGTATTCAGCTCGAATATCCAGAAGGTCGATTTCAGACCTAGACACTAAGATCCGGTTCAGTGTGGATTCATCAGTCCCAGCTCCCTAACATTAACAGAGAACAAGATATCTGTTTTGGATCTATAATCTGTTCTTTTACTTTATAAAGCATAATATAGATGGTACGTCATAAGAACACAATGCAAACAACAATAGCATTAATCCCTTCGTGAGCACAGTTTTAGCTGCAGTACAGCGTTTTAACCACTGCGCCACGAGGTCTATTTTTCATAAGAAGACAATGCAAACAACAATAGCATTAATCCCCCTTAAACCAACTGGATCCTTAATTCTGACCCCAGGAGGACTGCCAATAACATTTCCCCTTTTAAAAATATTTAAATATACTCCTTTTCCAGAAAAATGAGATGTATATCTAAAACACCCACAGGGATACAATTCTTTTAACCTGAGACAGCATCACAAACGAGGAAAGTATAGACAGAGCGGGGAAGTATTCCCTTTTGCTATTATAGCTCCCCGAAAACCTATTTAGCATAGCCCTAAATTCCCTAATAATTTCCCCCAAGATACAAGTTCATCAAGCCAAGTGGAAAGGCTGAGGATGCAAAAAGCTGATCTCTCCATGTCAAGTTGGGAACAATCTGTCTGAAATCTCAAACGGCTGAAGGCAGTGGTGTAGTGGAGCCAGGGTCAAAAGCACCGGGTCTTTCTCATTAGCAGGAATGAACCTGTCACCTCCCACCCTCAGCCCTTTTCAGGCTTCATAGTTCCCTTGGAGTTCAGTTGCCATTGTCACAATAGTGGAGAAGGTAGACATGTTTTTTCCCAACAGCGAAATACAGGTACGAGTGCTTTCTACTATAACGCAAAGCAGTTGGGGCAAAGTTCTGCTGCAACGCAGAAGCATTGTCATGCATAATGTGGAGAAAACTGAGGGGAGATACGATAGCAACTTTTCAAATTCTTCAAAGGTTGTCACAGAGAAAAGAGGGGCAGGATCTGTCCTCGAACATCCCAGGAGTGCAGGACAGGCAATAATGGGCTCAAGCTGCAGGAATCCAGATTTTGGCACAGTTGGGGCAAAGTTCTGCTGCAACGCAGAAGCATTGTCATGCATAATGTGGAGAAAACTGAGGGGAGATACGATAGCAACTTTTCAAATTCTTCAAAGGTTGTCACAGAGAAAAGAGGGGCAGGATCTGTCCTCGAACATCCCAGGAGTGCAGGACAGGCAATAATGGGCTCAAGCTACAGGAATCCAGATTTTGGCAGAACATCAGGGAAAACTTCTTAACTGTTAGAGCAGTACGACGGTGGCATTAATGACCTTGGGAGGTGCTGAGCGTTCCAATGTAATGACCTTGGGAGGTGGTGAGCGTTCCAATGCGGGAGGCATTCAATCGGACAACCGCCTCTCAGATCTGCTTTGATTTGGATCCCTGCCTTGAGGAGGGGGTTGGACTCAATGGCCTCAGAGGCCCCTTCCAACTCAATTATTCTACGGTTCTATCAATGCAAAGCACTTCCATAATGCAAAAGACACACACAGAGGAACCAACACTGATGCTGCTGCCTTTTACATGCTTTTTGGGGCCGTGACCATGACTCTCAAATTGAGTACCTGATCTTCAGATTTTACCGCTACCGTCCTGGCAAGGCGGACGAACCATCTGAGTGGGTGTAAATCCGCTTCCTACATTCTTACCTTCATACTCTTGTTCAGTTTCTTGGCAAAGAATGCAGGAGTATTGTTCACACATTTCACTGTGGAAAGAAGGAAAGAAAAGTGTGTGGCTGACGCATGTCCCATGCTCTATTTTCTCCAAAAAGGCAATGTTGAGAACGCAAGATGTCCTGGAATGGCACAGTGGTGGGCGTACCATCAAGGACTTGTTTACCATGCCTTGGCCTGTTGTCATTCCTTACGGCTGCCCTCTTGTGGGTCCTTGTGTTAATTGCATTTGCAGAATTGCTGGAAAGTTCATAGACCAACCTATCTTTATGAAAATGCAATTAACCTTTCATTGTTGACCATTACAAAATTGGATGGGGGGGGGTGTTGCTAGCCTTTGAGTATTCCCAAAATAATCAATACAGGGACACCCTAAAAGAAAAAAAAACACCTTTATGAAAAGAACTGCCCTTATTTGGCTTGGGTCCATCTGAAGAATCTACAGTCTAGAAAAAGATTCTGAGAAAACCGAGCTTATTATCTTGTTAATCTTTAAGGCATTTCAACATTGCATTGCTGACTTGAGTGTACAGTAGAGATGGGCACGAATCGCTTCGTGCTGGGTCATCGTGCGTCCTCAGCCTTCTCTCACCCACCCTCGGCTGGCTTCCCCACTCTTCCCCACCCAGTGCATGCTGTTCTTCTCCTGCTCTTTCTGTGACTGTCCAATCACAGCGGGAGCATGTGCTTCCCACCTCCCCCTCCTGGGGAAGCCAGCCACTCCAAGGCAGTGCTGCAAGAATCCCTGTCCCGCCTCCTCCCTTGAGTGGCCAATTGCCAGAAGGGGAGCACGGGGATCCTACTGCAATTAGACGGTCACAGCATGTGCCAGCTGGTGAATGGGGAAGCCGGTCGGGGTGGGAGGGACCTGTGGTGCCACACGGACGCATGATGACCCAGCACAAAGCGATTCGTGCCCATCTCTTGTCTACAGACAGTAACATCCATGTTAGGTTTTCAAATTGACATTAAGCTATAAGCCTAAACCTATTATCAGGGTGTGCTAAATGCAGCCAATAAAGTCCTTCCAGGGTCCCCCAGAAAAAAAAGAGAATAAAATGGATGAGATTGCCCCTTGAAAACCACCCGAGAACAACATGTATATTTGGACTGGAGGGGAAAAGATTGGGTGGTGGTGAGATAGCTGTCTTAAAAAATTAGAAGGGCTGTCACATGTGGAAGATGGAGGAAGCTCATTTTCTGTTGCTGCAGATGGTAGTAACCGATTCATATTGCAAGGAAATGTGTGTGTGTGTGTGTGTGTGTGTATGTGTGCGCGTGCGTGCGTGCGTGCGTGTGTAGTGTGTGTGTAGCTTTACTGAACGTTTTCAAAGTTTAGATGGCTTTCTGTTACAGAGGTTAGGTGGCCATCTCTCAAGGACGTTGTAGAAGTAAACGTCCGACACAGACACAAGTTAGACTTGGCATCTCTTCCAGCAATCCAATTCTATAATTCCAAGATTGTGCTGCCATGCTCAAAGCAATCACTAGTGCAGGCCTCCCAAAACCAGCATTTCTCCAGTTGTGCTGGAGCATGAACCCCATCGTCCCCAGCCAGCACAGCCCTCTGGAGGAGTGCTGGGTTGCAGAAAGTCTACACTAGTGGAAGACGGTCTTGCAAAATGGAAACCGTTACTGCTTCTGAGAAAGCATAATTTTGCTTCGAACGCGGCATGCTCAAAATGCATTTCTGGGTGAACATTTCATAAGCTCAAATGTAGAACAGCTTGGGGCCCACCTTTGCCTTCTTCCCTCTCTCTGGTTTGTACTGGTGCTGCTCCCCTTGACTGAACGTGATCCACAGCTCCTGATGAGAATCATCTTGCAAAAAAGCAGAGCTGTGCACGCAGAATGGGATCTATTCGGCCACAAGACCTGGGAACAACCCACAGGCATAGAGGAGATGGTTTATCTCAAGTCTTCCTTACCGATGGCCAGCAGCAGGTCTTCAAAATCCCCAGAGAGTTCACCTTTGATGCTGTCTTCTATTTTCTTTCCGCTGAGCTTTCGGTACTCATCAAAGGCTTCAAAACGACAGGAGACAAGAGTATCGACTCTGTAAGTACTTTGTCTGAACAAAATGCTCCAGGTATCTTTTAGTTCTACAGCCCTGGTTGTGTTGGGTTCTACACTGCCCTTCCCTCCACTCAAAACATACAAAAAGATGGCTGTAGAGCACAACATTCTGAAAACCCTGGCTTTCACTTTTTTTAAAAAAAACCACATTTCAAGGTAAGGTTGAAGGTCTTTGCACAAGGCCTGGTGAAAGACAGAGAGCACTGGATAGGTTTGGGATAGAAGTTCAGAACATTGTCATTGTTATATTCTTTGTATGCCGAAAGACCACAGTATCCAGTGCCTGTTGTATTCCTGGAATTTAAGTGAGTAAAATACATTTTTACCTTTTATACTTAAATATAGCCACGTGAATCTTATTTCACAAAGTGCTTGGCTTTGGAGAAGGTGGATATCAGTAGAAATGTAACACGAGAATTTCAGTAGCTAATTCTGAACTTAGAGAGTTGGCCTTCTACATTTTATTGGGAATTAAAGCCAGTTCCCAGAACTCTCAACAGAAATGTACATTTCTAATGGTGAGGTTGCCAGAACGGGCCTTTAGAGGGATTCAGAGACCGTACTCGTGTTCACAAGAATTTGCATCGTTTCAGCATCCATGGGCGGGAGTTGGAACTCATTCCCCGTGGATATGGGGGATGAGTTCTACTGGATATCTACAAATAGTCCAGGCCAATCGACTCTAAATTTATTATCCTTGAAAATATTTAATTTTGCTGTTTGTCTGTTTATATATGGGGCAGCTATGTTCTAAAGGAGGCAACTCTACTTTAAGAGACCCCTCAAACACAGCAGATCTCAACCAGTCTCTTACTTAGCTTCAGCTGAGGAATGCTCCTGAGGCAGAAAATTTCAATGAACTTGTCTTCATCTGTTCCCCACCTCTTCTCCCCAGCGTTGTACAGGACCTAGAGAATATAAGATTAAAGGAGGAAGGAAGATGATTGTGCTCTTTGCACTTGTCCGTACAGTTCTGAAAGAGGTAATTGTTTGGGCTCATCTGTTCCCCACCTCTTCTCCCCAGCGTTGTACAGGACCTAGAGAATATAAGATTAAAGGAGGAAGGAAGATGATTGTGCTCTTTGCACTTGTCCGTACAGTTCTGAAAGAGGTAATTGTTTGGGCCAAGCATCAATCATAGAATCACAGAAACATGGAACTGGAATGGACCTATAAGGCCATCAAGTCCAACCCCCTGCCCATGGCAGGAATCCAGATCAAAACAGATCTGACAGATGGTTGTCCAATTTTTCTCCCAAATCCCTCCAGCACTGGAGCACTCCCCACCTCCAAGGTCACTGGTTCCATCGTTGTACTGCTCTAACAGTTAAGAACTTTTTCCTGATATTCAGCCTAAACCTGGATTCCTGTAGCTTGAGCCCCTCCTCTGTATGACTACCATTCAAGTACTTGAAAAGTGCTATCATAATGGCTGAACCATTTGTAGTGTGCTAAATTTATTCTGAACCACCATCAACACACAGCATGCCAATAGCCAAGCTGTCTGGGAGTTTCTGGGAGAAGTAGTCCAAAAGAGTAACTCTTCCAAAGTCTTGTAATTAGACCTTTATGCTCCTCCCCAAACATTTTTGGATGGTTCAAAACTCATTTTACAAAAAGTCCATCACAAATACATAAATTTTACCTACATCTGGACAGACATCACAACCCTTTAAGTGTATTCTGATTCCAGTGTCTGAAACAATCCACCATCGTTTGCTGGGGGTTAAACAGTCTGTGTGTAGGCTGTTGCCTCCTGGAACAATTTAGTGCTATGAGAGTGCTATGAGAGTGTTTTTCTGAAAACCGGTACAGCGTGGTTCGAAATAAAGCTGAAGGTTGAACAAAGAGGCCCGTGAAGGACTCAACAATCCGAGCTAATTGGAGAAGAGATAAAACAGGTGGATCTTCATGGGAATTGAGGGTGGAGAAAGGTGTTACAGCCTCTTGAGGCTAATTGGTTAACAGCCATGAAGTGTCAAGAAGAAGGGAAGAGTTAGAGAATGTAAAAAATGGACGATGGGTTATGGGGGAGAGGTTCGATTCCACGATGATGAGAGAGAAGAAGAACTTGATGGTCTGAATATGTGGCTTGAAGGAGAGAGAATGTAAGTAAAGAGAAAGAAGGAGGTGGGGCTAGTCTACCTTAGCCCAGCTTAGTAGTGTTTATTATTTTTATGGGGATTAGTTATTTTATTTAACTGTTATAATTGTTGAGTATGTTCTTTATGCTAAAGCTTGAGCAATATAAACTGATTCTATGAAACTCTACTTTTCTAATAAGAAGTAATTATAAAAATTCTTACAAAAGGACTGGTCTCTTGAACAGCGGGACCTGGCTAAATCCAGGAGGTGGAGAGGGCCACAAACTAGCTCTCTTTAAGAGTCCTACCTAAATGAGCTGTTGTTAATTCTAAGGAATCACAAAGCCCATGTGTCTGTACTTGCAAAGTACTGGGTAAAAGTAAAGTGTTCTTTTAAGGTCAGACTTGTTCAAGGGGCTTACGCTACGCACTGCTGAGGTCTTGGGACTTCCCGCAGCGCAAAGGTGGTAGGTCAGTGGCCTGTCGAACTCTCTGACCGAGTGCTAAGCACTCAAGGAGGCCTGGGCACCGCATGCAAACTGCACTGGAACAGAGCGGGTAGCAGCCAGCGTTTCCTAACAGGGAAGTTTGAGATTCTGATTCTCTCTGCTGCACCGGATCTACCCTTCCTCTTCCTCTTCTATATCCTTGTTTAGAGACTGGCACCCCAAGGTTTGAAAAGAAGGGAGCAATAAAGCATCCAAAGCCATGGAAATTTGCCTGCTCTGAGCCAAACTCATGAACAAAAAAAAATGAGCATTTTAAACAAACAAGGAACTTTCTTATTGTGAAATCCTTCAGCTAGCTGCGTCCTAAATTGCCCTTACCTGTGCATCCGTCTTGGCCATCTGTTCATTTGGTTTTTCACTTTCATTTCTTTTGCTCTGCAACAACAGAGAAAGCCTTCTTAAAACCCAAATTTTTAATATTTAATGTACTATTTAATGCTATTTCTTAACAATGTGCACATCAAATCTGAGATCGACTAGGTGCAAAATAAGGGCCTTGGGGAAGCAGACAGACATCAAAAAGCTGAAAGGTGAATTAAGAAACAGGATGCCTCTGAGCACATGCTTGCCCCAAGGATCTGTTTTAGTACCAAAACTGGGGTCAAAATCCTTCCACATACAAATCCATTCCTGGTTTTCCTTGAAACCAGTGGTTCCCAACCTTAGGTCTCCAGATGTTCTTGGCCTAAAACTCCCAGAAGCCTTCACTATTAGCTGTGCTGGCCAAGATTCCTGGGAGTTGTAGTCCAAGAACATCTGGAGATCCACGGTTGAGAATCACTGATCTACACCCTCTCTTCATTCCAGGAGCCTAATTAATGAGGAGCAACAGCTTCTTGTAGCTCCTGCCGCTGTCAACCTCTAGGAAGTGGGAAACACAGAACTGGCTTACTGCGGATCGCCAGAGATTTCTAAATACATCCCAACCATCCAGACCACCCACCCCTGCACTTGGCTTGTGGTTAGGACGAGCAGCCGAAAGGGACACTTGCAGGCCAAGGAACATCAACTCATGAAGGATAAGCTCTTTGACTCATGCATGGTAGCCCAGCCATGAACAGTGAACACAATCCATGGTTTTACTGAGGAATCTCTTACATCTGCCAACATTAGCAAGGCTTTCCTGAAGTCCCCAGATGTGTCAGAGCTAATGTCATCTCGAAGGCTCTTCTTATAGACTGCAATAAAATAAAAATAAAAAAGGCCAAGAGATGAGCTCGGGGTCATTTGCTCAGACCAAAAGCAGTAAGCAAGACAATGTGTATGAACAGCAAAGGCACATATCTTAAGGATGGCATCTCCTTTATGAATCTGCTCTGGGTTTAAGATCATCAGCAGAGGCCTCTCTCAGCCCCACCACCCTCACAGGTGCACTTGGTGGGGACCCGGGAGAGGGTCTTCTCTGTTGCTGCTCCCAGACTCTGGAACTCCCTCCCACAGGAAGCCCAGCTGGCCCCATCTTTGTTCTCCTTCTGGAAGCAGGCAAATAGCTTTCTTTTCAGACAAGCTTTCCCTTATTGCTGGCTGCCTGGAATCGAGGCCAGCACTTCCTGGTCCTAGAGCTACATTTAGAGTATACTACAGGCACCACAGATAGATCATTGTGCCTCACTGCTTTGAATGTGTTTTTTCACGTTGCTTCTGTCTACCTTTTTAGTGTGATATTTGTTTGATCTCTTCTAGTGTTTGTATACTTAATGTTTTCAGCTTTAAATATAGTCTTTTAATGATGCAGCAAGGGGTTTTACTCAGTGCCAGGCACCTCCTAAGGCTCAGCGTGAGAAAAGTGTGCAGAAAGGATGTGCCACAATTGAAGGCTTGCTTTTGGAACATTAAATGTTGTTTGGCTCAGCTGAACATCAGATATCTCATGTTCCTCATGCTCTGTGGAATTAGGAAGGCTGCCAGAAGAAGAGATAAAAATGGCTTCCTATGTTTCTCTTCACCATTTTGCATGTCAGATGTTTTTGTAAACTTCAGATTTTTGGCAAAGGAAAGGCATGATAAAACATGGGATTAATGCAACTGTCAGGAAGTAATTTAACCCCTTCTTCTCTAGCACCAAGCCCAGGGAAATCATTCTTCTGAAGATAAGCAACCAAGATATTCATAAGTGGGTACTCCAACCTATCTAGAAGAGGGAAGTTCCCTTTTTTTCCCCATCCTCATAGCACCTTTGTTTGTTGGCTAGGCAGCGAAACAAGAATCAGTGGCGGTCTCTGTGCAATCATAGTGGCAAATAGGGAACTGTGGCCAACACTTCCCAGTCCCAGAGCTGCATTCATAGTGTATATTATTGGCACCACAGATGGTAAAGTCATCTATCTGTAAGAAAAGCCTGGAAGAGTTCTTTTCTTAGACCACAGCTCCCAGAATCTACTGGCTGGGGAGCTGTGGTCCAAAGCGTAACTTTGTGAAATGCCAAATATGGAGGCAACAACACAGTAATGACAAGGCTGTATTGAGGATGAAGTAACTGAGGTTTTGCCTCAGGGCCCCAAAATTTACAGGGCCCCAAACCTAGAAGTAAATCCACTGATGAATAATAGCAAACACCTTCTTTTGCTATACACTTTCCTTTTAAAAAAAAAAGCATACTGTATATTTATTTTGGGGGTGCACCATGCTCTCCTCTTCTTTTTTTGGAGGGGGTGTTCATGACTGTGCAACCAGATAGAACAGGTGGAATGGACAGAGTCCCTGGTACACATGGAACTTTAAACAAACAAACTCCTCCCAGTCTTGCCATTTGATGGGATCTGCCTCAGGTCAATTTATGGAACTGGGAGGTGTCAAAGAGCAGGAAGTAGAGTGGCCCTCTTTCCTCCACCCAATGCCTGCACCGCTTCTTAATGTCCAGCCGCACCTTTGCGAGCCACAAGGACTCTGTGTGACTCACACAGGGCCATGGGGGGGGGAACGGGTTCTGACAGAGACAACCTCCATACCCGTCCCAAGTGGATCGCCCCAGGTGCCCAACGGGTTAATTACAGCTCTGGAAGTGACCAACTCTACAAAGTTGGTGCAAGGATGACCGCAGGACCACAGGCTACATAAATATATGGAGCATTAACCTGGTGCTTGTAGCTCAGGTGGTTACACCCAAGTTCTTTCCACACCGAGCAGTTAAATGGTCATCATTCACTTGAACGGCCCGCAGGGTTAGAGGTTTCCAAACAAGCTTCCTCACATCTCAGTATGCCTGTTCTGCAAAACTGTTTTATTTTCCTTGCTCAGCTGGTATGGCTTCCTAGTGGAATCCAGTGCCTTCCAGTGGGAAGCCATTATCTGCTTCAAGGGCTGGGCTTGATCCATCTCAACAGCCAAAGAGCCATAAATCTTCCCGGTCTTAATCAAAGCCAAACCTCTGCTACTACGCTGTGCCGAGCCCAAGTATAGACCTCACTGGGCTGGCTGCATTAAACTCCCCAATCCATCTTGCTCAGCTTCCCTACGGCTCAGCAATTTATCTTCCCTGAAAGCCAGGCACCCTTTCTCAAAACAAAAGCAGTTTGGGATGAGTTGCAAGGAAAGCAACGGCAGAGGAGGGGAATAACATTCCCAAAAGCAGGCCCGCCAACAAGCTAAAACTAAATAAAAGGGATGCACGTTAATTACTCCTAATTGCTCTCAGTGGAATTCCACCGCAATTATGTTAAGCTGGATAAAACTCAATAGCATGTGCTGATGATGGCTCCTGAAGAAACAAACACACAAACATATGTTTGGTTACTTGGACATACAGTAATGCCATGTTGGGAATAGGAAATGCACACACATATGCATATATGTATAAAATATTGTTCTCTCTCTTTATATATAATCTTTTTTTTTAAAGATCCTTCTCAAGCAGCAGTGGGGAACCTTCACTCAGTTGAGGGTTTCTTATGCTCTTATCTCCAATCAGTGATGAAAGATAAGAAGATGTTTAAAGCCCAGAAGTTGATGCATGTCCTTGTATGCTACTTTGCAGTCCAGGAAAGGGCTACACTGGGGCCTGAGCGGACACACCCAGGATTGAACTGTACCTTATAATGTGAAAGCACAGGATGGTTTAAATTAGGCATCCTTCAGTCTCGAGAGACTGTGGTAACATGCTCTGTACAGAGGACTTGGAATAGTATTTAGTGTGGCTGAGAAGGCCAATTCGAGAGTGACAATCCCTTCCACACTGAAGGCAAATACAATCTGTCCCCTGTCCAGCTCCCTGGTTTTGCTTGTTTCTGGACTGCCTCTTTGCCTCGGCCTGCTGGACAAGGGTCTCTTCAAATTGGGAGAGGCCGTGATGCACCACCTGCCTCCAGGCTGAACACTCAGAGGTCAAGGTTTCTCATCTGTTGACGTCCATTCCTAAGGCCCTCAGATCCTGCTTGCAGATCTCCTTGTATTGCAGCTGCGGTCTCCCTTGGAGGCTGCACTAATTCTCCATACAGGAGATCTTTTGGAATCCAACCATCAGCCAAATGTGTAAGGCCTTGCATCCTTCATTTTTCCAGCCTAAAAAAAGGTCTCCCTCTGATGCACTCAAGGAATGACCTAAAGCGGCAGTCTGAAAGTGATTACTAGCACCCCCAATAAAGACAGGAAATTTGTTGGGATCCAATGCAACTCCTTGAAAACCAGTGTTGTATAGTTTCTGCATGGTATTCCCACCAGCAGTCCATACTGCACTCACTGAAGCCTCAGTATGTGACGTTCTCCCATGTCACTTATGCCATTCATATTCATGAGCTGATTTGCATGAACCTATGAGAGGACTGGAGAGGTGGAGTCAGCAGCTACATGAGGCTTGGCGGGAGAAGGAGGAGTCAGATAGGGCTGGTATCAGTTATTATTCAGTCTGCTTCACTCCAATAAATAAGTTCTGTTTCTGTTCACAAGTCAAGTGTTTGGACATACGTCATTTATATTGTGGATTGAGGTAATCCACTGGTGGCAGTGAGAAGAGAACGCGACGTGAGCCTTTGTGAGGGAAAAACAAGCAGGGGTTATAAGGGTAAATGTCACATCTCAGTATAGTCTTCAAGGGTAGCTTCAGGCAAAGCATAGCATAGTAGTCTAAATGATGAAGTTAGCTACTATGGGCAGATCTTCACTGTTCAGGAAAAAACACAGCTCGTGGGCTCACCAAAGCTGGTCTCAGGCACTTTAAGCCATTGAGTTGACCTGAGCTACTCCCAAGCTACACACCCACTATTTCAATGCGAACAAAACTCCGTCCAACACAGATCAGTTACCCAGTTCCAGGTTTTTAACCCTGAACCTCCAATCCAGGATGAAGTGGAGGGCCACATGCCCGGAAGAAAACAATACAGCAACTGCCCTTCCCAGCGATGCCTCCAGCGAAAACTCCAATTACCTGTATGATATGCTTGGGCTACTTCTTTAATTTGCTTGCTGGTCCTGGAGACAAGGATCTCAATCAAGGTCTTCTCATTGGTTCCAGGACCCTGGGATTGAGAGCGAAGGAAGGGGCGGGGGAAGCATTAGGAATTTTCTACTATACAGTTTAGTGGACCATTAGACAAGGTCAAACAAACCACAACACTAATTTTAAATACAGGTTGTGATGCTGAAAGAGATCATTTTAAACAAAATTCTGCATACTGGGGGAGGGGGGAGGAAGAAAAATGAGAACAATCCAGCTAACATTAAAAAAAAACTTCTACGTTTTTATTTGAACATGAGCTTAACTTTCCCACTCAACCCACTGGGATGCGCCAGCCTCTTGACTGCACCCTCTTTGATTCATGGATAAGCTACTAGTTAAAGGTGTGAACTAGCAGTTACAGATGGGGGCTGAAAACACAAAACCATTCATTGATCAATGCCGCAGGTTAAAAATACAAAGTTTAAAACCACGTGGCCCTTTGCGAGAGGGAGTCTATTAATTCCACATTATTGATACAGGCAGGACAACTCCCTCATTGAAAGAACTTTGTGTGTGCATAAGAACATCCGCATATACACTAGATCCAGAAAATGAGATCCAGAACAGACCCCTATTCATCACAGGCAATGGAACAGAGGACTTTAATTGCCTACAGAATGGAGAACTTTGATTACAACAGCATGTGAAAAAAACTGTGATTGTGCCCCTTTGTACAGTCGTACCTCGGTTTACGAAATTAATGCGTTCTACAGGACATGATGTAAAGCGAAACATTTGTAAACCAGAATGTGAATCGTGGGGTGGTGCTATAAACCTCCAGGCACAATGCATCCTGGGGAAACTTTCTTCATAAACCGAAAGAAACAAACAAATGAAAAATGTAAACCGAGGCATTATTTTCAATGGATTTCCATTTGTAAAATGAAAATTATGTTAACAGAGGCGTTTGTCAACCGAAGCACTACTGTATTGCAAAACCATCACCACTTCAGCCAAAATTGAGATTTTGGGGGGGATATTTTGTCTGAGGGAACACTGGATAAGATCTAGGGCCTCACAAACTGACCAGGAGAATGCAATCCGCCCACAATCCATCTATCCACTGATCTCTTTTATGTGCAGGAATCCTTCTGGGAGATATTTTTGAATCCCAAATCAAGGTCGCTGTACACCGCAGTGCGCTGAGATGAGTCGTTTTCTCAGTATAATATGGTAATCTCTTTCTTTCCTCAAACAGCATTGGAGAAATTAATATGGCAGGCCTACTGACTTAACAAAATAAATTATGGGAGGCGCAAGGCCATCTTTGTAGACTTACCTTCATGGATTTGTTGAGTTGTTCAGCATCAAATACTGCTGGGGGCGTCACAAGAGCCACCATAAGACACTCCAAATTTCCCGACAGGTCTCCCTTCAATGCATCTTTCAATTCCTTAAAAATAAACAAAGGAGGAGCAGTTAATACTTCTCTGTGTCAAACCTCCTGCCATTTTCCCCCCTCTCCTTCAGTTTTCCCATTCTGTTCAGTATTTCTGTTATGTAAAATTGTCTTTATATGTATTTTTTTGTATTATCTTTTAATATTGTTAGCCACCTAGAGTGGGCCTGACACGACCAGATAGGCGGGATATAAATAAAATAATATAGGCATCCTTCAGTCTCAAGAGACTATGGTAACATGCTCTGAATCAAGGAGTGTCCTCTCCAGAGCATGAAGCCCGGGTAAGGTAATATGGAGGATAGGCTGTTACCCAAGCAGCAGATCCCCCCTCTCCACATTGCTGAAATGGTCCAATGGAAAGGCAAGAGCCAATACAACTGGTTCCAGCGACGTCGCAGGAGTTGGCAGAACGACACATGCTGCCTTCGGGACTCCAGCTCCGGATTTTGCCTCGAGGTTAACTCCTGAAGCCTTTTCCATGAGTGGATATAGCCACAAGGCAGTGGAGGTTTGAAATTGGAGTTTTCCTTCTCCTAGATGGGCTGCCTTCCATGGCTGACGAGCCCCACCTACCCGGCCTGCTCTTTAATAGTGCAAAAGTATGATCTGATCCTTAAAACTTTCCTGACTCCCCGGCTTATGCAAATCTAGTTGGCTTTCCTATTTACCATATTAAGGCCAGATACAAAATTTGAGAACAGACCTGGCCTTCACCCTCAGCCCAGCTTCCTAGGGAAAAGGGTCCTGGGTCCTGGGAAACGCTCTTATAAAGCAGGAAGTCCCACCCCTAGGCCCCACCCCCAGGCCATGTGCTCAGGAGACAAAAGGAAATCCCACGAAAAAAAAACTCTGGTTTCTCTTCAGATCGTATAAGTAAAATAAATAAATAAAATAAATAAATAAAAATTGATCCTTCGCTGCTCAGTTAATCTCCCACCCGGTTTATAATCTCATGTTGTTTTAGCTCATAAATGAGATTAAGGCTGTACCAGTTCAGACTGTGTGCACGCAGATAGGACTGAACACTCCTCGATTCAAATCTACCTTGCACTTAGAAAAGTAGCTCTCAAGAAGTCCGGTTCGGTCTAAACAGCTTAGGACTTGGAATATTTTAAGGAGCACCACCTTCTACATAAATCTACGTTATCACCAAGTTCTGTCCGGAAGACCCTCCTCCATGCTCTACCATTGAAAACAGTTCATTACGTGGCAAAATGGGGTGCAACCACTTTTTATGATGCAGCACCCCAACTCTGGAACGCATTCCCTTTGGAGGCTGGATTGGCACCGACATTGGCATCATTTCAGTACGAAGGTAAGATACACTTATTTATTAGATTCTTTGGGGTTGAGGATGGTGGCCTGCACAGTTTCAATAGTTTTAATGTCTGAATGTTTTAATTTTGTGCTGTTTGATTTTAAATTGCTTTTAGTATCTTCTGCTTTAACCTTGTTTCATACAGCTTTGTCACCTGTCCTGAGATTCTGTGATATGGGGCGGGCTATAAATGTTTAAATAAAATAAATAACTTTTTCATGTGTGTGCATCTTTTCTTTTTCAGATCCTCATCACTGGCTGTATTCATAAGGAATCTTTGTTGGGGGGGGGAGAGGGAGAAGGAAAGTGGAGGGGGCCTTATGCCCTCTATCCTTGCATAAGCCATATGAACTTCATCAGATTGCCACAAGCTGCCACAGCCGTTTGGGTCAAATGGGGAATTCGGTTTGGAATAAAGAACTACAGCACGTAGTGAGTTACTTGAACCAGCAGAGGAGAGGCCAAGTTGATCAAGAGCTCCGATATTTCCCCCTTAGATCTCTGCTAGATTGTTCTCTTCCTTGCTTCCCTTTCCACAGAGTTCACTTCCTGAGTCATCATTTTTCAAGTTAGCACAAGGCTTCTCTGTGGCGACTGCCAGCAAACGTGCAAGTGTGGAAGTGAGCCTCAGAAATAATTTTGGAAGCCATTTTCTCCTTCGCTATCCTAAATGGATTTTCTTAAGAAATAAGTTTAACAAAATTCCACTTGTTTCCAAAGCAGTTAAATCCTTCTGTAGTTAGTAGCAGGCATCCTTCAGTCTCAAGAGACTATGGTAACGAATTGAGGTCTTGGAACAGTGTCTAGTGTGGCTGAGGAGGCTAATTCAAGAGTGACAACCCCTTCCACACTGAAGACAAATACAATCTGTCCCCTGTCCAGCTCCCTGATTTGGCTGCTTTCGGGTCTGCCTCAGCCTGCTGGACAAGGGTCTCTTCAAATTGGGAGAGGCCATGTTGCACTGCCTGCCTTCAGGATGAATGCTCAGAGGTCAAGGTTTCCCATCTGTTGAGATCCATTCCTAAGGCCTTCAGATCCTGCTTGCAGATATCCTTGTGTCATAGCTGTGGTTTCCCTCTGGGGTGATTTCCCTACATTAATTCTCCATACAGGAGATCTTTTGGAATCCGACCATCAGCCATTCTCACGACATGCCCAAGCCAACATAGACGTCGCTGTTTCAGTAATGTATACATGCTAAAAATTCCAGCTCATTCTAGGACTCCACTGTTTCCAAGCAGTACCTTTCCCGCAACTGCCTTGTACTCCCTCACAATCTGCTGCCGCTGGTCATTCGATCTCGTCGTCAGGATATCGATCAGGGTTTTTTCATCCGTGCCTAAAAGCAAAACCAAAATGGACACGGGGGCAAGACGTTGCCAACGAAAGTGTGGCTGAACTCCCCAGGGGAAAATCTCTGCCATCAAAGGACAAGCTTCACTCCCACGGCTATTCAGAATGCAATTGAAATATCTCCTTTGTGTGGCTGAGATTTGGCTCCCATCCACACCCACACCCAATTCTTCCCCTTCTGCACACTCATTCCTTCTGGCACACAGAGACTCCTTCTCCCACATACTAGAGCACACTCCCTTGCACGCACACACGCACACACATGCACACTTTCTCCTTCTCTCACACACACCCAATTCCACACATGCTCTCACACTTCTCCCCGTCCTCAGTTCCACACATTCCCTCGCCTTCCTGCACCGAATCCCAGTTACCCACTTGTGTAACCGACAGCCCCGTCACCATGCAAGCCAGTCACCAATATTATTCCCAGCTTGTTAGCCTTCTCCATGACTAATGAACTACAGTCATGCCTCACTTTACGATTGCCCCGCATTACGACAAAATCGCATTGCAACGATCTTTTTGCGATGAGTTTTTTTTCGCTTTGTGATGATCGGTTCCCTGCTTCGGGAACTGATTCTTCACAAAACGACGATTTTAAAACAGCTGATCGGCGGTTTCAAAATGGCCGCCAGGTAAACAAAATGGCTCCCAGCTGTTTTCTGGGACGGATTCCTCGCAAGACAGGCAACGAAAACAGCTACCCTATAGAGGATCTTTGCTGGACGGTGATTTTTGACCCCATTGGAATGCACTGAAGGGGTTTCAATGTGTTTCAATGTGTTTTTTTTCCTGGAACGGATTATCGCCGTTAAGCGAGGCACCACTGTACTGTCTCTCTGTCCATTCTTTGTATCCCCACCTGGCTATGGGGCCAAGTATAAATTATGACAGTTGTACAAACTCACTCTTACATCTGAGGAAGTGGGTTTGGCTCATATTAAAACAAAGCAGCTCGTCTTTAAGGTGCCACAACATTTTTGTCTCTTGTTCTTTTTTTTTTTAGTTTTTTCCTGATATCCTCCCCATATATATTCTTCCATCCCTCCTTCTCATACCGCCCTCTTCTCCCTCATATATCTCTATCTCTCCTCTCTGTCTCTCAGTCTTTCTCTGTCTCCTTCTCTCCCTCATACGCTTCTCATTCACATCCACTCTCTCTCTCACACACACACACTATCTCTTCATATAGATGCACACATACTCTTGATTCTCATTTCTTTTCTCTCTTTCTCCCTCACTCACACACCCAGCCCAAACAGAGTAAACAAAGTTGCCTAAATCACATGCACTTTCTCCATCTCTCACACACTGCCCACTCCCCACTCCTAGCTTTCCTTAAGACCACAGGATGCTCTGGTGAATATTTTATAGCCAAGATACAACAGCTTGCATAGCAGTGAGAAGCCAATGTTATCCTCAAAATGGCTGCTCTGTGTTGGACGACTGAAGTCTAGTGCACTTGTGAAGAGAAATCAGTAGTATCTGAGACTGAGCAAGACAAATTGCAGCTAGAGACCTGGTATAACACTAGCTGCTGGTGTTTCTTTCACTGCCTCTAGCTTAGATGACTTTTCACCTAAAGCTAGATGAGATCTGAAAGATCATCTAGTCCAGCCCATTGACAATATAGGACATCTATTGCTACAGCATCGCTGACACATAGAAAGTCAGCTTTTGCTTTAAATTCTCCAATGATGTCGCCTCCACATTCAGAAGCAGCCGCCCTCTGAATCTCTGATGTAGGGAATAAGCAACTGGGGATCACTATCTTCGTATTTGTTCATTTACAAGTTAATCGTTTGCTGATTTTAAAGTGACATCATGGGCTGACAGGTGAACCTTGGGAAAGCCCCCCCCCCAACAAACTACCACCAATGTTTTCAGAAAACTGCCAAGGGCTGATTTTGACCTAGTGGCCCATTTTGACCTACTAAAGCCACAATGGCTGTCACAACAGCGGGAACCTAAGGGAAAGTGTATTGTAGAGCAGAAAAAGACCACTGCACAACAATCCCACAGGGACGTAGCACACAAAACTGCTCCCATTCCTCAACTGGTGAAGGATCAAGGGGACCACTTACCTACTCCCTTGATGGCTTTCTGAATTGCCTTAGCATCTTCGGATGGATTGAACCCAGGGTGATTCTGTATTGTCCCACTTTTTCCAACCTGAGAGAGAGAGATGGAAAGTCAGACTCAGACTGCACACCGAACACACATTTAGAAATGGGTTTAAGATTAAGAAACCCACCAAGGACACACAGGAGGGTGGATGAAACATGGCTACAGAGCATGTTCTCTTTGTCCATCAAAGGCTCCAAGTTTCATCCCCATTTTGCCCTGTGGATAGGGCCTCAGGTAGAAATCTAGACTAAATCTCCTGCTCAAAGTACTCTCAAAAGATGTTGTCGGGGAATTAGACAATTTCATGAAGGATATGTTGATCAGTAGCTGCTAGGCCAGCCAGCTATATATTCCTTCCAGAACCAGAGGAAGCCAGTCTCCAGACAATGGTAGTTACTCAGACCTACCAGTAAGAAGACATAACAGTGTTGTGTGTCCTGCTTATAAGCTTTCTAGAAGCATCTGACTGGCCAGCATCCAAACTAAATACAGTGGTGCCTTGCTTAACGACAATAATCCGTTCCAGGAAAATTGCCGTTAAGCGAAGACATCGTAAAGCAGAAAAAAAACCATTGAAACCCCTTCAATGTGTTCCAATGGGGTCAAAACTCAACATCCAGCGAAAATCCTCCATAGGGCAGCCAGGAATCCATCCCAGAAAACAGCGGGGAGCCATTTTGTTTACCCAATGGCCATTTTGAAACCACCGATCAGCTGTTTTAAAATCGTCATTTTGTGAAGGATCGGTTCCTGAAGCAGGGAACCGACCATCGCAAAGCGAAAAAACCCCTTTTAGACCATCATTTTGTGATCGCAATTGCGATTGCAAAAAGATCATCTTAATGCGGTTTCGTCGTAATGTGGGGCAATCGTAAAGCGAGGCACCACTGTACTGTACTGGTAGCCATTCGGTCTGATCCAGCACAGATCTTAGGTAATTTTATGCTGTTGTTATGTACCATAGAATTGTAGTATCTGTGGGGAATCAGTTTTAAGCCTTCTCATGGATGCCCCCAAAAGTGGAAGTAATGAATGCTACACATGGCCTCCCTCTCTGCCTCCCTCTCGTGGCCAGTTACAGTAAATACATCAGATAAACGAATCAGTGGATATTAATCCTGCGGATAAGGCAGGCTCCTACTGTACCGTCAAGCTGCTTCTGACTTATGGTAACCCTGAAAGGGTTTTTGGAGGCACCCACGTGGATGGCCATTGCCACGTGGCTGGCCATTCCTGGGGGGGGGTGGAATCTGTGCTAATAGACCTATTTCTGTTCCTCTTCTACAACCTTGAGAGCTAGAAACTTGACTTTCTTCTTTTTTCTTAAAGATGAAACTGAAAAGGAAAAGCCACTGAAATGCAACAACAGAAGCTACCATTTGTTGTGTGACGTGGTCATGCAAGTGCTGATTTATTAACGCTTGAGGGAAGAAGTTACAAATATACATTTGAGTCCTCTCCTTTCATTGGAAATATCCAATTTAGGGACAAAGTTCACTGGGTTGTGGAGAGGGAGGAAAAAAGTCAGAAGCTTATGACCTTAGCCTTTCAGAAATGTAGATTTTTCATGCTTTCTTTTCTTTCTTTCTTTCAAGAGAGATTGCCTTGACATTAGAATCCTGCTTTTGTGAAGAACTGGTCCCGAGCATGCTCAAATGCAACCACACAGTTATGAGTAAAAAAATAAACATGCAAGCTATCGCATTCCTAACACCATTCCTGTCTTTGTGTATGGCTGGGCCAGCCCTGCGTATTGTGCAGAGAGCTGCATTCTCTTAAAAGAAGCCCACAACAATGTCAAAACGATGATCAGTCCTCTGTCGGGATGCCTTTGAAGCCATCTAGACAGGGATTCGGAGAAAGTTCAGCATCTAGTATGACCCCAGGCTGTCAACAAAGAAGCCCAAGGCAATTGCTGGCTTCAACAGGATGTTTGCAGAATCGAGCCACCAACTGCAGTTTCTACCTTCTGCTTCCTGTTTCGGTAATAAAATAAACAGCTTGAGTTCTTTCGTCCATTGAGTAACTAGAAAGTCCAGGGCAAACTTATGGAGCCAGGGTGCTTGCGAGGAGAACAACTGCAGCAATTTAAAGTTTTCTGCTCAAGCACACCGGGTCCACTTGAGAAAAAAAGGCAAGCAAGCAGGGCACTCGGAGACACCGTGGGTGAAATGGCACCGTGCAAGATGAATCTTCTTATACTTTGGCACCTCCTCAAAAAAGAGGACCACTTTGCCTCGTCAAAGACCACATGGCCCGGACTTTACATGCTCAAGTGCTCAAAGAGAAGATTTTCCATTCCTTCCCTTGATTTTAACATTTTTAGAATCCACGATACTAACACTACAAAACAAAAGCTGCACATTTTCTAGCACCAAAAAATGGACTGCACATCTCCACATTTATAAAGTTTTCCAGAACTTATGGAACTGTTCTTTAAAACTGCTCCATCAAACTTTGTAGTTCAAAGGCCTAAGAAATAGTGGGTTAGCTGCTATACGTTTTGCAAAGCATTTCTCCGTTTTCCTGAAAGTAACCAAACAGTTGTAATATTGTTACCATTTTGATATCAGGAAAATGAGCACCTTGCAAGTTATTATGATTAGGTGTTTCCAAGCTCTGTCATTTGATGAGTTAGTAGACAGAACGTCTGGTCTACTTATTTTTGTTTCTTAATTTACTAACATTTACAAACCACTTAGATCTGAACATTTCAAAAGGGTGTACAACAATAATAAAATGAACTACATAAACAACATGCCAAAATCATGATACAGTGTAATAGCCACTAATAGGCTGAACAGCACATTTTAGCATCTGGCCAAATGGAGTTACAGATAGCTGTTGGACTACATAGGGAAGGCTTGTCAAAACAGGTGAAATCTTAGCGTGTGCCTACCTGCTGGATCATGTGAAACATCAGAGGATATTTTTCAGATGATGATGACCTTTGGACCCTTTCCTTTGTGGTGTTTGCTTATCATCATCATATGCCATCAATTCTCACTCACAAAGACCCTTTTCAGGGTTTTCAAGGTAGAGAATATTCCATTGCCTTCCTCTGGGGACAATTCTGGAGCTGTGCAGCTTGCCCAAGGCTACACAGGCTAGCTCTTCTCCTTGGAGGTACAGTAGGGGAATTGAACTCCCAATGTCTGGATCCACAGCCAGATACAGTCGTGCCCCACTGGACGATTACCCTGTTTGACAATGAATCTGCTTAACGCTGACGTTTTTGCGATTGCTTTTGCAATCGCAAAACGATGATTTATTTCGCTGTGCGATGATCGGTTCCCTGCTTCGGGGACCGATTTTCGCTTTACGATGATCAGCAAACAGCTGATTGTTGGGTTTCAAAATGGCCACCAGCTGAAGAAAATGGCCCCCTGCTGTTTTTAGGACTGATTTTTCTCACTACAGGCACCGAAAATGGCCGCCCCTATGGAGGATCTTTGCTAGACGAGCAGGTATTCAGCCCATTGGAACGCACTGAATGGTTTTCAATGTGTTTCAATGTTTTTTTTTATTTTGTTTGACGACGTTTTCGCTCTACAGCGATTTCGCTGGAACGAATTAACATCGTCAAGCAAGGCACCACTGTACTTAACTCACTGAGCTATGGGCTCTGTCACTGTTATTGCACACGGACACAATCTAATAACAACAAATGTGAAACCATCAAGAACTTCCCTAATTTCACGGAGGATTGTGTAAGGCCTAACAGTCCAATCTCTGCTAACGAATGTCCTGTAAAGGAACGCAAAGTCAAACACACAACTTCACAAGTGCATTCCAAACATATTTAGAAATCTTTCTCAAGGATTCTGAAGGAGCAGGCAGTTTTTCTGGTCCCATTTTCTGCTGATATTTATCTTTAAAAGACCTTTTCCCTATGTACTCTTTTACGACTAGCCAATGCAATTTAACCAAGTCTGGCATCAGAACCTGGCATTACAGGGCAGCAACAGGTTTGGACTTTCGCTCTCCATTTTACACTGCCTTCATGTAAAACTGCCCAAAATGTCCAAGAGTAACACTATCTTTGGATGTCCCAGGGTATTGTGGGAGAATTAAAATGGTGGCTCTAGCCATCTCTAAAGCAAAAATATTTTGTTGCTGTTTTCAAGTTCGATTTTATAGTTCCAGATGGAGGTGGGCTTTGTTTTTAACATTGTTGTAAACCACCCGGGGCAGTGGCTTTTCACTAGTTGGATGATTAAAAAAGTAATTAATTGATTGATTGATCAATTAATTAATTAAAATAAAAGTGCCCGTTTGGCAGCTATAGAATTAATGCAAGTTCTTTCCTGCCCTCTGGGATTAAACAAAATGACTCACTGGTAAAACAACTCTCGATTTCCTGTTAAGGAGAGGAATAAAATTATGCAAACATGAATGACGGAAATACTGACTAATTGGATGAATAAGCAGTAGTTTTATCATTCAATTTTTTAAAAAAAGTAGCTGTGAAAGCATTTGAATTTTAATTCAACAATTTTCCCCGGCTGCAAGATGACTTACTTATTCCAGACAGAAACAATTTGGTATAAGATGTTCATATCAATAAAAGCATATTCTGGAGGAAGTAAAACCGTAATTTGTTTTTATAGGATATGCACATTTTATATGATGATCTAGAAGAGGCACTGAAGCAGCAAATGAAACTCAAAAAATAATTTTAAAAGGGATTTTTGTAAAATAAAGTCTATTTAAAACAGTTAAAAATGGCCCAATGGACAATTTGAGAGGGAAAACACCTCACATTATGTCCAGAAGTCATTTTTGGCCTCACAAAAGTGGTTTGTAAATGTTATGCAAAAGAAACAATGACATTATCTGTTGTTATGTCACTTTTCAAAATACCATTAATCCCCACACGAATAACATCTTCTCATCTCATCATCATGTATATATAGTACCGAGACTTTTCAGTGTAACCACTGAATTATAACCTGTCAAGAAGTTCAATACTATCACATCAGGCTTGTATCAAGATAAAAGGTTTTTAATCTCTTTGCCAGTAGCCATTCACTTACCAAGGCCCAGATGCTATTATTATTATCAGCACTGCTCAGTGAACAGTCATTAGAGTAGTTTTATGATCACATATAAATTGCCAGCCTGTATTTGTTACATTTCATTTGCCTTTAAACAAACTACTTCCAGGTCCCCATTTCTGGTATCGTGTGTGAATACATACATATTAGCTTAGAATATAATTCAATGCTGTCTATTAAAGTCGTTTCTAGTCCATGAAAAACTCTGCATAAGACATTTCTTTAAAATCTGCTTTTTGATTACTTAAGAACATCTTTTCTAAAGAATTAAAGAATTATTTAGCTATTAAATGTAACTAAACATTGCAGTGTGTGTGTGTGTGTGTGTGTGTGTGTTCAAACTGCACATGGATATCATGATTCTACTCACCCAAATAGAAGCCATGGTTCTTTTCTCTCAGCAAGAGTCTGCCAAGGCAAAAACTAATAATCAGACTGTAATAAGGATGCAACTCTCAATACAAGCAAATATTGCAAAATCCATGAAAGGCCATTGATACTACTGCCGCAGGAACCTACAGGCCAGTTCCCATGACACCAACTGAAAGAGCACCCCAAGCCTCAATATCTTTTCAAATGTCTGCAACATTGTGGACCCTCATTTTAGTTTTCATTCCTTTTCAGACATTTCTACATTACCTGTACTGTTCACAGTGCTGTAGCAGTAATTTTGGAAGTGCAGATGGACGTTAGGGCAGTTCTCACAGCCTGCCCACCATAAAGATGATCCAAAGATGTAGGCTGCTAGATGGACACAAAACAACTGAGGAGCAGGTCTTTTGTAAAGTTAACGGCTCTTAATTTCCCACTGAAGGCCAAACCTCACTCAGCAACTTTGCATTAGCACAGCAATAGACTGAACAAACATACTGCACCTAGGAAAATCCATTTCCCTCCCAGCTCTTGTGAAATTGTGTTATCTCCAAACCTATTATTTATTGTATTTATTATTTATTGAGCTTATATGCCGCCCATTTAGTCATAGTCTACTCTGGGCGGCTCGCAAACGCAGAATAAAAACAATTAATATCAAATAACAATTAACAGCATTTACATCTGTCATAACACGGCCTTCTGGCATTACCCACAGGCTGTATGGAATGAGAATCAGAGGGAATATCCATGGAACCTTAGCTTCTCCCAGAACAGAGAATTTCTACCCAAAAGAGCAAGCATTCAAAAAAAGCATTAGTGGCAGGAAAGGAATCCTAAAAATGTGTGTTTGCTTGGCGACCCATCCCGAAACTGTAAAAAATGTGTTCCAATTCTGGAGCTGTGCAGCTTGCCCAAGGCTACACAGGCTAGCTCTTCTCCTTGGAGGTACAGTAGGGGAATTGAACTCCCAATGTCTGGATCCACAGCCAGATACAGTCGTGCCCCACTGGACGATTACCCTGTTTGACAATGAATCTGCTTAACGCTGACGTTTTTGCGATTGCTTTTGCAATCGCAAAACGATGATTTATTTCGCTGTGCGATGATCGGTTCCCTGCTTCGGGGACCGATTTTCGCTTTACGATGATCAGCAAACAGCTGATTGTCGGGTTTCAAAATGGCCACCAGCTGAAGAAAATGGCCCCCTGCTGTTTTTAGGACTGATTTTTCTCACTACAGGCACCGAAAATGGCCGCCCCTATGGAAGATCTTTGCTAGACGAGCAGGTATTCAGCCCATTGGAATGCACTGAATGGTTTTCAATGTGTTTCAATGTTTTTTTTTATTTTGTTTGACGACGTTTTCGCTCTACAGCGATTTCGCTGGAACGAATTAACATCGTCAAGCAAGGCACCACTGTACTTAACTCACTGAGCTATGGGCTCTGTCACTGTTATTGCACACGGACACAATCTAATAACAACAAATGTGAAACCATCAAGAACTTCCCTAATTTCACGGAGGATTGTGTAAGGCCTAACAGTCCAATCTCTGCTAACGAATGTCCTGTAAAGGAACGCAAAGTCAAACACACAACTTCACAAGTGCATTCCAAACATATTTAGAAATCTTTCTCAAGGATTCTGAAGGAGCAGGCAGTTTTTCTGGTCCCATTTTCTGCTGATATTTATCTTTAAAAGACCTTTTCCCTATGTACTCTTTTACGACTAGCCAATGCAATTTAACCAAGTCTGGCATCAGAACCTGGCATTACAGGGCAGCAACAGGTTTGGACTTTCGCTCTCCATTTTACACTGCCTTCATGTAAAACTGCCCAAAATGTCCAAGAGTAACACTATCTTTGGATGTCCCAGGGTATTGTGGGAGAATTAAAATGGTGGCTCTAGCCATCTCTAAAGCAAAAATATTTTGTTGCTGTTTTCAAGTTCGATTTTATAGTTCCAGATGGAGGTGGGCTTTGTTTTTAACATTGTTGTAAACCACCCGGGGCAGTGGCTTTTCACTAGTTGGATGATTAAAAAAGTAATTAATTGATTGATTGATCAATTAATTAATTAAAATAAAAGTGCCCGTTTGGCAGCTATAGAATTAATGCAAGTTCTTTCCTGCCCTCTGGGATTAAACAAAATGACTCACTGGTAAAACAACTCTCGATTTCCTGTTAAGGAGAGGAATAAAATTATGCAAACATGAATGACGGAAATACTGACTAATTGGATGAATAAGCAGTAGTTTTATCATTCAATTTTTTAAAAAAAGTAGCTGTGAAAGCATTTGAATTTTAATTCAACAATTTTCCCCGGCTGCAAGATGACTTACTTATTCCAGACAGAAACAATTTGGTATAAGATGTTCATATCAATAAAAGCATATTCTGGAGGAAGTAAAACCGTAATTTGTTTTTATAGGATATGCACATTTTATATGATGATCTAGAAGAGGCACTGAAGCAGCAAATGAAACTCAAAAAATAATTTTAAAAGGGATTTTTGTAAAATAAAGTCTATTTAAAACAGTTAAAAATGGCCCAATGGACAATTTGAGAGGGAAAACACCTCACATTATGTCCAGAAGTCATTTTTGGCCTCACAAAAGTGATTTGTAAATGTTATGCAAAAGAAACAATGACATTATCTGTTGTTATGTCACTTTTCAAAATACCATTAATCCCCACACGAATAACATCTTCTCATCTCATCATCATGTATATATAGTACCGAGACTTTTCAGTGTAACCACTGAATTATAACCTGTCAAGAAGTTCAATACTATCACATCAGGCTTGTATCAAGATAAAAGGTTTTTAATCTCTTTGCCAGTAGCCATTCACTTACCAAGGCCCAGATGCTATTATTATTATCAGCACTGCTCAGTGAACAGTCATTAGAGTAGTTTTATGATCACATATAAATTGCCAGCCTGTATTTGTTACATTTCATTTGCCTTTAAACAAACTACTTCCAGGTCCCCATTTCTGGTATCGTGTGTGAATACATACATATTAGCTTAGAATATAATTCAATGCTGTCTATTAAAGTCGTTTCTAGTCCATGAAAAACTCTGCATAAGACATTTCTTTAAAATCTGCTTTTTGATTACTTAAGAACATCTTTTCTAAAGAATTAAAGAATTATTTAGCTATTAAATGTAACTAAACATTGCAGTGTGTGTGTGTGTGTGTGTGTGTGTGTTCAAACTGCACATGGATATCATGATTCTACTCACCCAAATAGAAGCCATGGTTCTTTTCTCTCAGCAAGAGTCTGCCAAGGCAAAAACTAATAATCAGACTGTAATAAGGATGCAACTCTCAATACAAGCAAATATTGCAAAATCCATGAAAGGCCATTGATACTACTGCCGCAGGAACCTACAGGCCAGTTCCCATGACACCAACTGAAAGAGCACCCCAAGCCTCAATATCTTTTCAAATGTCTGCAACATTGTGGACCCTCATTTTAGTTTTCATTCCTTTTCAGACATTTCTACATTACCTGTACTGTTCACAGTGCTGTAGCAGTAATTTTGGAAGTGCAGATGGACGTTAGGGCAGTTCTCACAGCCTGCCCACCATAAAGATGATCCAAAGATGTAGGCTGCTAGATGGACACAAAACAACTGAGGAGCAGGTCTTTTGTAAAGTTAACGGCTCTTAATTTCCCACTGAAGGCCAAACCTCACTCAGCAACTTTGCATTAGCACAGCAATAGACTGAACAAACATACTGCACCTAGGAAAATCCATTTCCCTCCCAGCTCTTGTGAAATTGTGTTATCTCCAAACCTATTATTTATTGTATTTATTATTTATTGAGCTTATATGCCGCCCATTTAGTCATAGTCTACTCTGGGCGGCTCGCAAACGCAGAATAAAAACAATTAATATCAAATAACAATTAACAGCATTTACATCTGTCATAACACGGCCTTCTGGCATTACCCACAGGCTGTATGGAATGAGAATCAGAGGGAATATCCATGGAACCTTAGCTTCTCCCAGAACAGAGAATTTCTACCCAAAAGAGCAAGCATTCAAAAAAAGCATTAGTGGCAGGAAAGGAATCCTAAAAATGTGTGTTTGCTTGGCGACCCATCCCGAAACTGTAAAAAATGTGTTCGGAACACCTTGGAAGTTACTGCGCAGAAGCACATGGCCAACCACCATGTAGATCCACTGCAGCATCTTTTCCTGACTTGGTGCCCTCGATAAGCTTTTCTGGGGCTTCAAATTCTCATTAGTCCCGCAAGCCAGATGCTGCAGCCCAAAACATCTGGAGGGAGTGACCAAGTTGGAAGTGCTGACCGACCAGAAGCATTGCCAGCTGTTAATTAATGCCAGGCAACACTAGGCTAATGAATGAATTAATTAATTCCCCACCTTTCTCTTTAAAAGGGACCCAAGACGGCTTTACATCATTAAAAAGACAATATTTAAAAGCTAAAAAGGGTAAGTCATGACAGAGTCCGACAGCTGCTGTCCTTCAGCCACAGCACTGGAGAGTCACAGATATTCTACTTTTTCCCATGGAGGTTCCACTCCTAGCTGTATTACACACACACCCCAAGAGGCAGAGGTGAATCTCCCTTCCATGAACTTCAAGTCAACAAAGATGATCTTGTCCTTAAGAGGGTGCAGCTGGGTCGAGGCTTTGGGAAATCCGGATTTCAGTTTCCACTAAGCCAGAACACTCCTGAGGCTTTTCCTCAGCCTGTCCTACCTCGCAAAGCCGTTGTAGAAATAAGAGAGGAAGACTTAACTGGAAAGGAGCTACCTATGCCGCCTTGACCGAACTGGAGAGAAAGCATGAGGCGGAGGATGATGACAAGGACAGAAGGTCTAGGCAACCCTAGGCAAAAAGTGTCCCTGTTTTTGTTTTGTTTTTCGTGTCCTCTCTCCCTCCTCGGATCGCCCTCTAAGCGGAACCATATTTTTGGGCAGAAGGAAGGGGCAATCGGTGCGAAGGGGGACCCGATCCACCACCAACCCGGAACCTGGCGCGCAATCCTGGGAGGGAAAGGCGCCAGGCGGGAGAAGGATCTGTTGCTCAGCCCAGGGAATGGGCTCGGAGGTGAGAAGGAAAGCTGACAAGGGGAACGTGGGGAAAGAGGGAGGGAGAGCCGACCCCACAAGCCCCTGCTTAGCATCAATGGGGGAAAACGAACTTTATTTCCATACCGATAAGAGACGATCCGGGAGCGCAGCGCGATGTGCAGAGCGGGCGGCGGGAATCGATCCTCTAGCTGCGGCGGGACGCAAAGGGAGCGCGGCGCCTGACCTTATGTTGGCTCCACCTGTCCGGCCCAGGAGGAAGGGTGTGAATGCCAGCCAGGCTTCCGCCTCTCGGTCCCACCCCTAGGAGCGGAATACTAGGGCTTCTGCTTCCACCCGCATTCCTGGCCAGCCAGCCAGCCCGCCGCCTTCCTTCCGGAGTCTTTTCGCGGCCACCGAGCAGGCCGGCGTTCAACAGGTGATGCCTCGCGCTTTAGCTCGGGCATCGTGTCTGCCGCCCAGCCAAGTTCGGCTTTCAGACGTGGTCGTGTGCGTGAACGGAGAGGCGGTCGCGCTTTGGACACACC